AAAAATAGATTGATATGGCCCATAACTTGGCTGGCCTATCTGGGGGGAGAAGAGGGGTCGCAGAATCAAAGGTTCATCTTTAAAAGGGTGCTCCTGCTGTAGGAATGGTGGTGGTGGTGGTGGTGGTGGTGGTGGTGTCAGGTGCCATCAAGCTGGTTCTGACGCATAGCAACCCCATGGACAACAGAACGAACACTGACTAATCACAGCCCCTCCTCCCACGGTGCAGCCACTGGGTCAACTCCTCTTATCAAAGGCCTTCCTCACTCTCGCTGCCCCTCTACTTTACCAAGCATGACGTCCTTCTCCAGGGACTGGTCTCTCCAGAAAACATTTCCAAAGTCCATGAGACGAAGTTTGTTTCTAAGGCGCAGTCTGGCTGTACTTCTTCCAAGCCAGATGTTTGTTCTTTTGGCAGTCCATGGTACCTTCAATATTCTTCACCAGCTCTATAATTCAGATGCATTGATTCTTCTTTGGTCTTCCTTATTCAATACCCAACTTGCACATGCATCTGGGGCAAGTGAAACTACCATGGCTTGTGTCAGGCACGCCTTAACCCTCAAAGTAGCAACCTTGCTTTTCAACAGTTTAAAGAGGCCTTATACAAGAGATGGACCCAATGTAATATATCATTTTATCTCTTTTTTGCTTGTTTTAATCGTTTTATTAGGGGCTACTACAACTCTTATCACAATCCATACACACATCAATTGTGTAAAGCACACTTGTACATTCATTGCCCTCATCGTTCTCAAAACATTTGCTCTCCACTTAAGCCCCTGGCATCAGGTCCTCATTTTTTCCTCTTCCTCCCCACTCCCCACCTCTCATTTGGTTTCTTGACCGCTGATCCCATGAGCAGTGATTGTGTACCCAAGCAAATGAAATCTTTGGCCCTTTCGATCTGTTCTCCGCTTATCGTGATGTTACCTATTGGTCCAATGATGTGACTTTGGTCTTCTTGACACTGAGTTGTAATCCATACTGAAGGCCGCCATCCTGATCTAGATCAGCAAGTCCTCCTCACTTTCAGCAAGCAACTTTGTGTCATCTGCATGTTGTTAATAAGCCTTCCTCCAATCTGGATGCCACATTCTTTTTTTCCTTTTATATGGCATATAGTTTATTAATTTTTATACTAATATAGCATGTTTAAAAAAGGTAATTTACTGGAAGAGCCTTCCTTTTGAATCATCTGTTAACACAGAGCTGCTCATTTAAAAAATCCTCATCTGATAACAAAAAGACAAAACAACAAAATATTTTCTTTCTTACAGGTGGAGAATAAAGTGGACCTAATTCAATTTTCTTTTTTCAAATCTCCAAAGAGAAAAGCAGATTAAACATAAATAAAACAAGCAAAGTGGCTTATGACACCGCTGGTCTCCTGTACCATTGTCTGTTTCCTGGTGTTTGGATGCAGGCTCTGCTTGTCTGCTTCTTCTCTTGCTCTCTTCACTGGACCAGCAGCGCCATCATTTTCATCACGTTCAAGGATCATGCTCACATTTCATGTTCTTGCCGAGACTGCACTTTTCCTTTAGCCAATCAGCCTGTGCAACAGTATTTCCCCTTCCCTTTCCTTTAAGTTTGTGGCCTTTAGAAAGTTTCCATTTACTGAGGGATTCTTGTTGGTCTTCTGTGACTTTTTCGGTGCTGCTTTGTCCCCCTCTCCTTCTAGGACTTCCCGCGTCACTTCTCTGCTTTTTAACTGTAGGTTACTGTTACTTGCATCTTCGGCTTTATCCAGTACTTCTTTAGCTTTTTCTTTAAATAGAATCATTCCTTCTTTGGCTCCTCGGACAAAATCTATCCATTTGATTTCTCCATGACTTGCAAGGAGGATGTGCACACCATCTCTATAGGTCTGCTCATCAGTCACCTGAAAACTTCAGCAAGCAGCCCGTCTTTTCTTCTAGTGGTTCATTTAAGCATCCTCTACTAACTTCTGCTTTCCTTCTTACTCCTGTTTGACTTGTAATTTAGCCAGCACTTTATTTTGTTTACTTTTTTTTTTTTGCAAAGTAATCATCCTTAAAAAGTAGCAGCAGGTCTGGCCAGGGATCTCTATGAACATCGTAGCACATTAAATTCTCTCAAATATAACATAAGTGCTCTGTGCAATGTTCTCATCTGAATATTTGGTTTTTTACCGCAGCCTTCTAACCAATTTTTTATGTCATCAGGGTTGCATCTGCTGGAAAGCCTTTCATATAAACAGATCTGGTTTTTACATCATTTTTATACTCATCAATCACTTCAGGGTTTGCTTGGAGGTCTTCTGATTTTAGTTTTATCTTCACTTGTTTCCATGAGTTCCCCTTTGATTTGCTCAATACTTTTACTTTCCCATTAAAGTCTGTTGTTAAATGGTTTAACCTATTGAATCTTATCATTATCACCAGTGGTACCCAGCCTTTTAAGAAAATTGTTCCAAGGCAAATTGAAGTCACCAAAAAAATACTCAATCTGATGGCAGATTTTGGCTTCCAGCTCAGCCATTTTTTCACTCTCACCAATTTTGGATCAACAGCAACGACAACAACATCCTGACTTCCAAGTCCCGTCGGCTGGCTGCCACATCCTTCATCTATCCAGTTTCTCTGATGATTTGCTCAGCACACAGACTGAAGAAGTGTGGTGAGAGAATAAACCCGGAAGCACATCTTTTCTGATTTTAAACTATACAGTATTGTCTTGTTCAATTTACACAACTGTCTCTTGATCCATGTACAGGCTCTGCATGAACACAATCAAGTGTTCTGGAATTCCCATTCTTTTCAAGGTTATATATCATTTGTTAGGATCCACATAGTTGAATACCTTAACATAATCATTAAAACACAAGTAAACATCTTTCTGGTCTTCTCTGCTTCCAGTCAAGATCCATCTGACATTCAGCAATGGTATCCCTTGTTCCATGTCCTCTTCTGAATCTGGCCTGAACCTCTGGCAGCTCCCTGTCAATGTATTGCTGCAACTGTTGTTAGATGATCTTCAGCAAAATTTTACTTGCATGTGATATTAATGATATTGTTTATAATCTGAGCAGTCTATTGGGTCACCTTTCTTTGGAATAGACACAAATACGGATCTCTTCCAGTCACTTGGCCAAGTGGCTGTCTTCCAAATGTCCTGGCATAGACAAGTCGGTGCTTCCAGTGGTTCATCAGCTTGTTGAAACACTTCCATTAGTATTCCATCGATTCCTGGGGTCTTGTCTTTGGTTAATGTTTTCAGTGCTGCTTGAACGTCTTCCTTCAGTACCGTTGGTTCTTTCTCACAGGCTACCTCTTGAAATGGTTGAATGTGGACTAGTCCATCAGCTTGTCATACTGTGGTGGCTCGGGCATTGCTGTGATGTTGAAAGCTATGTCACTGGCATTCCAAATACCAGCAGGGTCACCCAAAGTGAACAAATTTCAGCAGAGCTTCTAGACCAGCGGTTCGCAACCTGTGGGTCGAGACCCCTTTGGGGGTTGAATGACCTTTTCACAGGGGTCATCCAATTCATAACAGTAGCAAAATTAGTGATGAAGTAGCAACAAAAATAAATTTATGGCTGGGGGGTGGGGGGGGTCACCGCAACATGAAGAACTGTATTAAAGAGCTGCAGCATTAGGAAGGTTGAAAACCACTGCTCTAAACTAAGAACAGACATGAAGAAGGAAGAGTCCACTTCTGAAGCGTCTGCCACTGTAAACCTCACAGGCAGCGTGGAAACACTGTCCGATACGGAAAACCTCATGAAGTAGAACATATTCAGAAATTGCACCAGAAGACGAAGCCCTCGTGTTGGAAGGCACTTGAAATGTGCCTTCTTAGAGTCGACCATAATGATGCAGATGGGAGTAAACGCCCACGGAAGTAAAGCCTTCAAGACCTTCATTTGCTGATGGCACAAAACTCAAAAGAAGAAGAAACAACCGCAAACATGAATAATCAGAATTCAGAATGTAAGAAGAAAAAATCCAGGGAAACGGGAAGTATTGGAATGATGGGAGTGAATTTTAGAGCGGTTAGGAGGCCCATAGGCAAGCAGCCTGCCTGGGTTTGAGATTTGTTTGAAGACAGGAGGGACAGAACCTGATTATGATTCCGAAGCTATGGAAGGAACCTGTGGGCAGGTGTCTTCTGGTTCGTACAAAAGATGGACGGTGGTATCACTCATGGGGACAGGAAGGCTCCGATTTCACTGGGGTCAGAAACTTCAATGCGTGAGAGCCATCAGCACCCGAGTAGTACTTTGAAAAGCTTTGGGGCTGGAAGAATGTATCGACCGAAGTGGGAAAGCTGAGCTTCAAAACAGGTGAGCATGGAAATGTCCCTGACGGGTCGTTCTGGAGGACTTCACATGTATAATGTATCGGGCAGCTTTATAGACAGGCTTACTTCAGTAACAACTTTGAGTGAAATTACAATCGGTATTCACAAGTGAGGAAACTGGGGTAGCCTGCTTAAATGACCTGTCAACATAGTTAAGACTGAAAGAAAAAAAAATTGAGCTCACTGTCATGGAGACCTTATATCGTTTCCAGGGCTGTCAATCTTGACCTCACCTTTCTCCCACAAGAGAGGCTGGTAGGTTTGAACCACCAACCCTGTGGTTCTCAAGCCAACAATTACCCCACAGCGCCATCAAGGCTCCTTATGGTCCAAAAGAGGCTGTCTTATGCCACACCGTCTGTCAGGGGCTACATGCGATGCTCGGAGGCTTAGCACCCATGCAGTGTGGTCCTCTAGGCTTCGATGGCGCTGCCGTCTAGCTGCACCGGGAGCCCTTCAAACCTGGCGGCCCTCCCCGGGAGAAAGGTGCGTCTAACTGCCCCAGCACAGGTGTGCCGCGTCGGAAACCACCGAGGGTCTGGAGCGGTCCGAATGGACGCCAGGGCAGTGGGGTGCGTCGTAGGTACTAGGTCCTACGGGGTTCAAAACGAAGGAAAGACCGTGCGACTTCAGAACCCCCAAAGGGGTTCACTTTCCCAAACCGCACTTACCCTCGAGGAAATTCGCTTTAAACTTCAAAATGGCTCACGTCCCAAGACGGGGTGGAGTTGAGAAGACGTAACTGAGCCGGGGCAGCCAGGGGACCACCCCCAACACCCGACCCCCAGGGAGTTGGGTCCCGACGGAGGGCGGACAGGCGTCGCCGGGTCGCGGCGGTGGGAGGGCTGCCAGCCTGCGGAGCGGCCGGGGCCCGCGCGGCCCG